ACCCCGCGCGCAAAGGAGCCCGGCGCGTCGCGCGGCCCCTCTCCCAGCGGGCCCGGGATCCCAAACCTGGAGTCTCAACGGCAGGCCCTCCTCTGGCCGCCAGCGACAGGGCGAAGCCCACGTCCGTGCACGCCCCTGCCCCACAGTGGATGCAGGGGCCATTTCCGAATGCCGCTGAGCGATCCTGTAGACGCCGCGCTGCGCACGGCCCCAGTCATCCAGAGGGGCGTAGGGGGGTGCGGCACTGGCGTGCGTGCCCGCGGCCGTTCAGCTTGCGCCGAACATCCGCGCGTCCCAGCTGCCCAGGACGTCCCTGGGCGACATCCACGATGTCCCAGACAGCTCAAGAAGGTTATGGTCGCACGAGTCGGACCATTCAAGTCGCAGTCGGCGCTGTGATTCGTAGGTTTCAAAGCCAGTCGCTTACCGCGCTTAAGCAGCATGCAGCAACTACTACTGGACGCCTCGATGGACAAGAGCAAGCCCTATTGGCCACCAAAGAAGCACGAGCCCAGCGGGACGTTCAACGACCTTTGGGGTGCCACCAACCGCATCAACCAGCAGTTCAGCCTCTCGGACGCAGACGCCCCATCCTGGAGATGGCGAAGTCCTCAGACTGGGATCGCGCCACGGGCCCAGCCATCTTCTTCCTATCCTGGCCGCAGCCAGGCAGCAACGAAACACTTTGGCAAGCCGCTGCTGCATGGGCGGAAGCAGGCAATCCCCCACAGCACCCATTTCAGTTCCACGGAGAAGGTCCCAATCGCGGATTCATTCATTGAACCGTCGGTGGCAAGCAAGCAACGACTCCTCGCGCGGCGGCGTTCGCGCGCGCCCTTCAACTCCCAGGCCGGGCAGGTCACAGCCAACTCACATGTCAGACGCTTGAGGAATACGCCATCAATTAAGGTTGACACGCACCACTCTATGTCAACCCGGACAAGAACCAATGACGCATGCTATGGGAATTCAAACACAGTAACTACTCGCTCCGCATCGGACACGCGACCCAGGCAACAACTGGAGGGCGAGACGTGATCCGGGAAACAATTTCTGCAACGTCATCCACGCAGCCAAGCTGGAACTCACCGCGATGGAAGCCGCCGCCTTCGCGGAAGGAGCCGCGAGGCGATAGCCCAAGCCCCCGTCAACAAGGCGGACGGCGCAGCAGAGTTCGCGGCCACCTACATGGCAGCGGGCACGACGCAGTGGGCGCCATGGCACGCGCGCAGCGCAGCGGGGAACCGCGCCCGACCCATCGGATTATCCGCGCACCTGCGCGGCGCCCATCGGCAACCCGAAGCGCCGGAGCACGCCCCTTGGGGGCGCCCCCTGCATCCGAAATACGACAAAGAAGCCAGAGAAGCTCCTCCGATCATAGATCGCACCTTCTGCAAGTTGAATGCGAGCCTCTGCGTCGCTCTTCAGGGCATCAGCTGGGGCGCCAAGCTGCGCGTCATCCAGGAAGGCCCAGTGCTTCCTGAACGAGATCGGTTGCCGCGCGGGGCGGGCGCCACCGCGGCGCCCCCCTCTTCCTCGTTCTCGACAACGCTTGAATTCGCGTCCAGCGACGCCGCGAGCTCTCCGACCAGTTCCTCTTCTACATCTACGGCGCGCGAATATCCATCGCCGCTGACGGGCCCCCTTCCCCGCTAGCCGACCAGCGCGGCGGGCTCTCCAGCTGGGCGCCATGTCTGTTGGAACGCGAGCGGCCTTCTTCCGCGAGTCTCGCAACAGATGGGCCGCAATGCCCCGCCCCGCCCCCTCCCCGAAGAAGAAGGCCCCGGCGCGCCTGCAAGAACGAACCACAACGGCGCTTCGCAGCACACATAGCTCAGTGCCCATGCCCACGCGAGATCTTCTTCGACGGCTGAATCGACAACCGCGGCACAGGTGGCGTTGCCTTCCTTTCCTGTTTCTCAGGTCGACTGGGTTACTTGCGTGCGCATCCACATCTGCGCTTTCGAAGGCGCTTGGAAAAGTCGCCCGAATTCACGTTTTCATCGCCGACGCCCGTTTCTAGCCGTTGCTGCTAAACGCGCGCGGCCACGTCTCATCGGCGCAAGGCACGACAGAGTCTTCAGAGAACGGCGCAGCGCGAGGACGCGGGCAGTTGGCTTTCCACGCCAAAGCATCTCCAGCGCGATGGTCGATTTCAGGACCAGCACGGCCCCATTTTTCAAATTGATCGACCTCGCGTCGAGGCCGCGCCCTGCGGCCCACGATGGCCAACGACCGCGGTGGTGGGGTCGCCGGCGCCAGCGATTCACCGGCGGCGCGGAGATCACGCGCGACGCCCCCGCCCGCTTCTCCACGCGCGCGCAATCTGCCGCAGCCATCGACCGCATCTTCATTTCCGTCGCGGGCATCGATCTCATCGATGTCGGCGAGGACTCCAAAATGCACGAGGATGGGGCGGCGCGTTCCGACCAAGGCATCAGCGACCGCGCAGTTCTCGATCCGGCACTCGACCCGGTCAAAGCTGCAAGAATGGGAGAACAAGCCGTCGACCTCGGCATCGTCCACGACTCCTCCTACGCCGCGCACTTCAAGTTCCCTTCGGAGAACACCGCCAAGGCTTTTACCACCCCGAAGGCGGAATGGCTACAGCGCAGGTTTATCACGACGGAAGCAATTCGTTCTGCGAGCAATCTACAGCAGCGCGCATCACTGATAGACCACGACACACGCGCCAAGAGCGGTCGCTTGACAGTCGCGCATTCGATTGCGAGAGATGCGGGCCTGACGCTGCCGCTCGCATCGCCGGCGCTTCGGGGCTCGGCCGCCGCTGCCAGATGATCGCGGCGGAAGGCCCTTAACCTGCGCGCCGAGCAGAATTTATTGCAGCCGTGGACTCAGCGGCAACAGCCGAAAACGATCGGAGCATCGCCGCCGCCACCCAGAGCAAGTCGCAGGGCCAGGAGGCGCAGCTGGACCAGGCCAGCCGCCGCAGGATGGCCATGTAGCTCGCCTGGGGGGCACAGGCGCGGAACCCGCCCAGACGCCGACTGGCTTTGTCAGGACTGCGGACCCCACGGAGATCACGCAGACCCCTGAGGGCATCGCCGAGGGCCTCCAACAGTGGGAGCCTATCGCCCAAGCCAGAATTGGATCCCAAGCGGACCCGCAAATTCCGAGTGAACCAGATCCTTCGCTTTCTGGTTCTTGGTTTTCGGGCACCCGCCCCAGGAGGCCACCGAACACCCCTGCGCGCGGCTCGGCGCTCCGCGCCAGGCCCCGATCAGATTCTATGTGCAGCGTGCGCGACCAGTCCAGGCTTCTCACAGATATTGCACGACCGCGTGATGAAGTTGCTCGACATGTGTCTTGCCCCGCAAAAGTTGAATGACCCCGCGTCCACCGTCATCTCCAATAGCGACGACACCCAGGACCTCCCTTCGGCTTCCAGGAACGGCTCGCCCTCGCTCAATTGGCCTCGCCCCCCTCCGTCACCCTTCCGCTTCGCGCCACTTCAACCGTGGCAGGCCTCGAGGTGCAGACCCAGAAGAGCAGCGCGGTCCCTCTCTCGGATGAATTCACAGTCGAATGCGGAGCGGGCAATTTCCTTGCTGGCTCCAGAATGGCCACCATTCAAGATTGCTCCGTTAGCGAGGTACTTGGATTCTGATCTGCCCAGCAGTCCCGCTCGACCTGCAGGTGGAAGGCTGACTTCGACAAATGCTGGCTGCGAGTCGTCGGGCTCTCTGCCTCTGTCCCAGGACCCGCCGTTGCCATCAAGTTGTGCAATGCGTGCGCTATATCTGCCATCTCCAGACTTCCCGGGCACGAGCGTGGCACGCTTCAGAAGGTTCTGCGTGCTCCGCCAATTCCTGGCGCCTCGTCGACCGCCTCGGTGTTCGGCCGGGGTCTCGAACATCCCTCCTTTTAGCACTTGTGCCACTCTCACTCGTTCCTGTCTTGAGGGCGGCAAAAGCCACAACTTCTAATTGGCAGCCTGCACACGCCGCGCTACCCTTAATTCATTAATTCAATTCCAGATTAGTCAGAGGTCTCACTGACAGGCCTGGCATCAGATCGCTTCCGTGGCGCGACCTCTCCCGCGCCTTGGCAGACTCACGATATCGCAGAATACTGGACAGCGCTACTGCTTCGGGAGCCACGATATAAAGCGCCTAAATGCAGAAGTGGTGCGAACCACGGCGCGCGGCGAAAGAAGAACAGCCTTCTGCTGCACGGAATGAGCGACGTGCCACAGCGCAGCGAGCTATCACTTCGTCTTTCCACGCTTTCCTCAATCCCAATTTATTCGCTGGAACCTTAGCCCGTCGTCTCTGGCCGCGGCGCTACCCACTGTACACATCCCGACGGAGTTACAGGCCCGTTGGAGCAAACTCTCAAGGCACCGGTCTACGAAGGCACCAGCGATTCGCTGGAGCATTTTCAAGGCCTTAGCGGGAGCGTGGTGGGATAGCCACCATTGTTCTTCGCCCGCGCAAGGTGTGCCTGCTAGGGTGTGCAGATTGCCCTGACCGTATCGGCCACTACCTGTCCTTTCCTCGCATGTTCCACTTCCTTCATTACACCGTTTTTACTTTTCCCAAACTAATCGTTCGAATTGGCCTTGGTACGGAGCACACATTTGATGCTGCCGCCGCGCGGCCATTTAATTTCAATATCATCAGAGACTGCGTGTCATCACACTCGCCACGCCCAGCGCCGCGCTTCTGTGCACTACAGGCGCAGAGCGCCTGGCCACTGCAACTCACGCCTAAAAGTGGCAGAACCCGTCGTGGACTGAGGGAGGATGCGGTCACTCCTCCTCCTCCTCCTCCTCCTCCTCCTCCTTCTCCTCCTCTTCCTCTTCCTCCTCTTCCTTCTCCTCCTCCTCCTCCTTCTCCTCCTCTTCCTCCTCCTCCTCTTCCAACCTCCTCCTCCTCCTTCTGCTCCTTTTCCTCCTACTGCTCCTCATGCTCATCATGATCGTCGTCCTCCTGCCTAGCCGTTCTGGCCCGGGTGCTCCGCTTCACCCTGCTCCCGAGGCGCCCGTGCGCGCACGCAGCAATGGCGACCATTTGCTGCGTGCCCTCGTCGCCCTGCGGCAGACTGGGCGGCGCCGTCGGGAAGGACGCGGCGGACTGCCGCCTCACCGCCACGTCGGAGGCCTGCCAGGAGCCCAAGGTACGCCAACAGCACGCCGCGCCGATGCTGGCCAGGCCAGCCTTGGAAGTCCAGGATCGGGCGCCTTCCCTGCCTGAGCCAGCAGGGCGCACATGCCAGGAGGCTGCACACGCGTGACGGCGGCCGCGACAGACTTGACGCGCGTGACGAGGCAACGCCGGGCCTCCGCACGTCGCGGCCTCCGCATGCGCACGACGTGTGGATCCAGCCAACGTGTGCCTCCGGCCTCCTGGCACACTGATCATGGGCGCAAGCGTTGGCCTGGCCAGCGCCCTGCGCGGGCGGAAATCGTGACCGGCGCCCTCCTCCCGAGGAGCTCGTGCAGCAGGCCTTGGAGGCGCTGCCCGCCAGCATGAGCCCAGGGCAGTGCCGCCAGGCTAGGGCCCACGTCGGTCCGATCGACCCGGCTCGACCTCGCGCGGGTCTGGTCCGATCCGGCTCCGCTGCTCTGACGATCCGATGCGGCCCGACGATCGCGCGGCGCCTGTTGTGTGCATCCTGGCGCGGCCGATCCGGTTAGCCACACGTCCGATGTCTTGGTTTTTGTTCAACCACCCTGTGGTGTTGGGTCCTCGCTTGAAGAGGCGGCGCCTCACGTCCTCCCCTCCTCCTCCCTCCGCCCTCCTCCCATCCCTGCCTCTGCCCTCCGCATGTCAACCATTTCGGCACATCACTCAGGCGCTTCGTGAACCCCCAGGGACTTCCACCTGAAGCCCCAGGGGGGTGCATCACATGCGGCCGCCCCACCAATTCCAGCACACCACCACACGCTTTATAGCACCATAAGGCGGCTCAACCTGAGGCACCAGTGTACCGCATGCGGCCGACCCACCCATTTCGGCGCACCCCTCACGCGTTGCGTAGCCCCATACAGGGGGCTCCACCTAAAGTCCCAAAGGGGTGTACCACATGAAGCCGCCCTGCCAATTTCAGCACACCCCTTACACGATTCTTTCGTGCCCCAGTGGGAGATCCACCAAAGGCGATACGCACAACGACAGCACTCGCAACTGCACATGGCTAGGTCCTTCGCCAGGATAACTCAATGCGGGGTCCCCCGATGTCCGGACTCGTTCCTGGGGCCGGTGTTTCATCTCGAGGGCCCCAGTAGGTCCAAATTTGCCCAAACCTCCCGCAGTGTTTTTCTCAACCATCCTGTGTTGGGCCCTCGCTTTGAAGAGACAGTGCCACGCGTCTCATTTCGCCTCCTCTCCTCCCCCTCCTGCCCCCTCCCATCTCCGCCTCTGCCCTCCGCATGTCCGTGTCAGCACCTCTCACACGCTTCGTGACCCCCAAACAGGGAGCTCTACTGAGTGCTTCTATGGAAGGGTCCGCATGCGTCCCCCAGCCCATTTTGGCGCACCACTGAGACGGTTCGTGCCCCATAAGGAGCTCCACCGAGGGCTTCTGTGGCAGGGTCCGCATGCGTCCCCCAGCTCATTTCGGCGCACCCCTCAAACGTTCCGTGGCCCCAGGGGGAGCTCCATCGAGGGCTCCCGTGGCAGAGTCCGCATGCGTCCCCCCGGCCCTCACGTTTAGTGGCCCCTAGGGAGTTCCACCGAGGGCTCCCGTGGCAGGGTCCGCATGCGTCCCCATAGATCATTTCGCCGCGCCACCGAGGGCTCCCATGGCAGGGTCCGCGTGCGTCCCCCAGCACATGTCGGCGTACCCTTCACACGTTTCGTGCCTCCATAGGGAGCTCCACCGAGGGCTCCCATGGAAGAGTCCGCATGCGTCCAACAACCCACTTCGGCGCACTTCTCACACGCTCCGTGGCCCCATAGCTCAGAGGGCTCCTGCGGCAGGATCCGCATGCGTCCCCCAGCCCACTTCGGCACACCCCTCAAACGTTTCGTGGCCCCTAATACGGAGCTCCACCGAGGGCTCCTGTGGCAGGGTCCGCATGCGTCCCCATGCCCCTTTCGGCACACCTCTCACACGCTTCGTGGCCCCATATGGAGCTCCACCAAAGGCTCCTATGGCAGGGTCCGTATGCGTTCCCCAGCGCCTTTCGGCGCACCCATCATACGTTTCGTGCCCACACGTCCACATAGGGAGCTCCTCCGAATGCTCCTGTGGCAGGTTCCGCGTGCGTCCCCAGCCCATTCCTGCACACCCCTCACACGTTCCGTGGCCCCATGAGGAGCTCCACCGAGGACTCCTGAGGCAGGGTCCGCATGCTTCCCCCAGCCCATATTTCGGCGCACCCCTTACACGCTTGGTGTCCACATAGAGAGCTCAACCGAAGGCTTCTGTAGCAGGGTCCGCATGCGTCCCCCAGCAGATATTTCGGCGCACACCTTACACTTTTCGTGGCCCCAGGGTTCGCATGCGTCACCCAGCCCATATTCCGGCGCACCCCTCACACGTTCAGTAGCCACCATCCGCAAGTATTGGGCCCCACCCTTCCCGCGACGCGCTGCCTACGAGGAGGGTGTCATACCTTGCGTGATTCGCAGCCGAATGCGGTTGGGTCTTTCGCCAGTCGACTTGCACGACGCGAGCGGGTCTGCGGTGCTGGCTGCGCCTGGCCAGGCCATCCTTCGCCTGCTGATGCGGGTCAGCCTTTTGGGGGTCAGGCAAGGGTAAGCTCAAATCCTTGGATATTCCTTGTTTGGGGCCGCATTTGTTTTCAAGTGCATGATCCGTTAGTTGTTCCTTGGCCGTTCCTTTGGAAACTCTTCGCCCAGACCAGTGTGTTTCTCAGAATGTATGTTCTCAGTTTGCCCCTCGCTGACCCTGACCCCCAGAATACTTGGCGTCGGTCGGACATGTGCATTTCCTCTCGGCGAGGAACATCGTTGAGCATCTTGGATTACCCCGCGAAACGATGAAAGCACAAAGCCGAAAAATGCACGGTGCATGGACGTCCGAGCGATAGCAAGAATTCCGCCCACCATCAGCAGGCGGCTGAGGCCGCCTCTTCTCCACGGAGAGAACTTCCACGGCAGATGGTCCGGGCACACCTCGGCACTGGACGGGCAAGAGGGGGAGGCCCATCCGGTGGGTCGAGCACGCATGATCTTCGGGAGCCTTGAGACGGGGGTCAGTGCAAACGGGGGTCAGCCAGAGCGCCGGACCTTGCAGGATCCTGTAGAGCCAGGGGTGCACCGACCCGGGTTCGGGCGCAAAATGCTGCAGGATCCTGCAGGATCCTGCAAGGCCCGACTGTCCTAGGTTTGCATGGACCAGGGTCCGTGCGCCCCCGAGACGTGGCAGAGTGCTGCAATCCGGCCAGCCTGCGTAAGACAGTTTCTTGTGCGCGGCTCCTACCCGCGCCCCATACGCCCGTCCAAGCATCATGCTTCATGGACTCCAGGACTCGTTCAGGAAAAACACGAATCTGGACTGGACCCTGGGTGTTTTTTGATAGCCTCTTTTTGTTCGTGGAACTTTTGGTATCTCTGGGCCTGGGCTACTGCTCAAGAAAACGCTTGGAGTGACGCCCACTCTCTCGGCGACATGAAAGTCTGAACTCCAAGCAGGGATGCCGTGACCCAGCGCGCCCGCCTGGCGCGCCCGCCCAGCGCGCCCGCCCAGTGCGCCCGCCCAGCGCGCCCGCTCCGCGGTCGATGCTCTCCTCCCGGGCCACGCGCGCGCAGGGATGGAGAGCTAGGCCCTTCGGGTACCCTCCGCTCTGACGGTGAGGCCACGGAGCCCCGCCCGACGTGGCCCGGCGTGGTGCCCTACTTCTTCACGCTCCCGGCGCTGTCGCTGCTGGCCGTCGGGGTGCTGTGGGCCGCCCTGCGGCCGCTCCTCCGCGCGCTCGTGGCCGCCAGGCCGGGCCTCCACAAGCTCTTCCTGAACCACATCTGGCGGCGTGCACGTGGGGGAGGGGGAAGACAAAGCCAGGGTTAAGTCGGGCACGTCCTTCTACAGGAGGAATATCCAAAAATAGTCCAAAAGTAGTCTGGGTACGACTTGTTTGATTGTTGCTGAGCTTCTTTTGCATATTTTTGGTATTCCGTCCAAAATCCGCCTGAAGGAGGACACGCCCGACCTAAAGCCAGGGGGACCGTTGTCGCCCCACTTCTGCAACTCTCGACCCACCCCACGCGGCGTCACTGCCCTCCCCGCGGCTCTCCCCCAATAAGAGGCGAAGCCAGGACGAGTATGCTCTTGGGCGAAGACAGAGATCGAGAACCTCTGAGATCCGGTAGCTCTGGAGGATGCCTCGAGCGCCGCGGCCTTCTCAGAGAGTTCTGGAGCGCTCTGAGAGCGGCCTGGAACGCTCTGGAACGGCTATATCTTCGTCCTAGCCCCGTCCCAGGGGGGGGGGGTCGACTTTTTCCAGCGCGCTGCTAACACCCAGGCTCCAGAAGCAATGACTGCAGGGCCTGGCCGCTATAGCATGGAAAATTGTGAGGCATCGTCCCAGTTGGTCCGGGTTCTTTTAGGGGGGAGACCTGTGCACAGCCTTTGGAGGACCTCCGACTGGGCTTAGAAATGCCATAGGGACCTCATGTCGCCGGCGTGCAGGTGGGGGTATCGACGGAGGACACACTCGAATCGAGGGAGGACACATTCGAGTCGAATTCGAGGCGCGTGGATCAGCGACGGGTCCCGCTTCCATGCAAATCGGCGCGCGCTGTCGCCAAACGAGGCGGCACCAGCCTCATGTGTCGGTGGTACCTCCCCGATCCATGGATCTGGCGCCCATGCACAGATCCACGGTTCGGTGGCGAAAACCGAACCCGACCCCCACAAACCATCGATTCTCTTGGATCGATGGGAGGCGGGATCAGGGTTCGGATTTCGCCACGCGTTCGACAAATTCCGAGCCCTACCCCCGCCGCCCATCGAGTTGCCTGGATCGTTGATCGGCGAGGGGAGGGTTCGGGTTTCGCCGCCGAACGGATCACTAATCCATGTCAGCGTGCGCCCGATCGAAGAAGAAACAGCTGCGTAAACACAACTGTTCGGACGTCTGCGCGGATCTCTTGGGATCCACGCTGGGGCTCCCCCGGGCGGCGCCTCCAGCCCCCCTCCCTGGCGCGCTCGCGCCAGGGAGGGGGGCCCAACGCAGACCAAGAGATCCGCGCGGACCTCCGAAAATGTATGCTCGTGCTGCTTTCTGTGCCGCAAAGAGTTGCACATGCTCAGAGCTCCGAATCATCGGTGCTGGGGAGGGTCAGGGGTAGCTCCTGATTCATGCCTCGTGGGCCCAAACCAGAGTTGCCCCCGACCGGAGTTATCCTGGATGATTCGGGCGTCCATCCGTTCCCAACTCATCGGTGCTCAGGGTGGTCAAGGAATTGCTGATTCATGCCTCGGGGGCCCAAACCGGAGCTATCCCGGATAATTCGGGCGTCCAACAGTTCCCGATTCATGGGGGTTGGGGGTGGTCAGAGGTGTTCCTGGTCTGTGCGCCGGGGGCCCAAACTGAAGTTACCTCGGACCAGAGTTCTCGCGGACGACTCGGGCGTCCGGCACGCGCATTTGGGTCTGCGGCGAGTGGGGTCCAACGAGCGGTCAGGCAATCGGCGGGACGCATCCGCTGCGAATGGAGGCACGGGGGGC